CTGCAGGTCGTTCTGCAGCTCCTCGAGTGTTTTTTGAAGCGATGACCGGATCGTTTCCAGCTCGTTGACCTGATATTTGGACTGTCGTTCCTGGTCGAGCAGTTGCGCTTTGGTATCGTCGACATCTTCCTGCAGGGACTGGTTCTGGTCTTGGAGAGTCCGAAGTCTTCGCTCCAGCTCCGCTTTCTCATTGAGTGCGGTGTCTTGAGCCTCTTTCAATTCTTTCGCAAGGGTTTCGCTCTTGCGGCTGGCACGGTGACTGGACGATTCTGCTACCTAAGCACGATCCCCCCAAGGAAAAACAAATTAGCCATGAAGAACACGTCCGTCGACTGAAAGGGGTGAGCGTACCTGAGCTTTGCGGAAATCCGCATCTGCCTTCAATTGCAATTCCCGCAGCTCTTTCTCATGGCGCAATACCATCAAATCTCGCTCCTGCTTGAAGTTCTCGAGTTCATACTTTAACGTGTTTACCTGAACGCGCAGTTCTTCCTTTTCGGTATCTTTGGAGGACGATAGGTCAGGATTCCCTGCGATAGTAGAGGGGGTGCAGGTCTCACCTGGTTTCGAAGGGTGAGCTGGTTCTGCCAGACGACTCGATAGCTGAAAGACACTCGGAGCTGGAGGGAGAGCCAAAGGGGATTCAGGCGGGGGAGAGCCCCATGCTGCACGCGAGTTTCGTCTTGAATCCATCTATGAACGTCTTCCGTTAACTGGATCCTTCGAAATCTCTTATTATGCCATGCGACGAAGGGTTGGACGTACACTGAAGGATAGAAGCAGGCCAAGCGAACCTGACTGGACGGTTCACCTTTTGACAGCAACACAGCACAGTCAATGCTAGGGATCACAGATATGCATAGGCTTGACCTCCAGTCTGGCGACGGGAAGTACAAGCAAGCATTACTCAAAAGCTCATCCACTAGTACTTCATTTGTTTGGGGTTTGCATGCGCGGCGATGAACATCGGCATCCGCACCTGCACCACGCACCACGGCCACCAGTGCTGACTCAGCTGCTCACCGCCCGCGAAAGCTCCCACTTTAGAATAGGACTAGCGCCGAAATTTTGAATGGATTTCGAATTTTTGCGGGTTTCAGCAAAAAGACCGGACGACTATTTCTCCCCCACGCCCATCGCCCTCTCTCTCGCCCTCGCCCAACCCCTCTTTCCGGACTCAGCATCAAATCCTCGAAGCGGGGTCTAATATTCACAATGGCCAAGGACAAGAGCGACAAGAAGGACAAGCGCGAGAGAAAGGAGAAGCGCGCGGAGAAGGACGGAATCTCCAAGAGCAAGAAGGACAAGAAGGAGAAGAAGGACAAGACCGCTCTCGCCGACGCCGTCGAGAAGGAGCTCACCACCAAGGTTCTGGAGGGCATTGAGCAGGCTGTTCCTGCTGATGCCACCGTCACCGGTGTTGTTGAGGCTGAGGTCATGGATGTCGACAGCAACCCCGTTGGCGCCCTCGTTCCTTTCGCCCAGCCTCTGGTTGAGGACAAGCAGGCCAAGAAGGTTCTGAAGAGCGTGAAGAAAGGTAAGAGCATCTGCCTTCGATCAACACAGACTCTCTCCCATGCATTGAGTCCTAGGCCCTCTGGTCTTGTGGACATAGATGAGCCCGGGAATCAATGCAGATTTCGACTGATCAGCGCGACCTTTCCTGCCTTACCATATACTAATGAAACGCCTCGAACAGCTGCTGTCAACAAGTGCTTGAAGCGTGGTGTCAAGGAAGTCGTCAAGGCCCTCCGCAAATCTCCCATCCCCGCCGCCAACGCCACCATCGCCGTCCCCAACGGCGTTGTCATCCTTGCCGCCGACATCTCGCCCATGGACGTCATCTCTCACATCCCCGTCCTGTGCGAGGACCACGGCATCCCATATGTCTTCGTCACATCCCGAGCCGAGCTCGGTAACTCTGCCGCCACGAAACGCCCCACCAGTGTCGTAATGGTTGTGCCCAAGTCGGCCTCCAAGGGCAAGAAGGGCGAGGACGAAGGTGAGGACTTCACCGAGGTGTATGAGGAGTTGGCCAAGTTGGCTCAGAAGGAGCTGAAGCGGGTGAACCTGTAGAGGTTCATCGGGTGTGATTTCTTTTCCGTTATTTCCTTAATCTATATGGCTTCTTTTGTTTTGTCTTGTCAACTTGCGATGGCTGTACAGTTCCACTTTGATGCCTGACAAGGCAGTGCATGTCTTTGGGGTCTGGCCTTTGGGACGTGCTTATATGGGTTGATCTTTTATGACGTGTCCGTTGCAAATCCGGCGTTCGCAAATGGTGTATGAAAAAAAGGCAGGATGTCTTCAAAATTAAACTCAATTGACTGACAAGATATGATTCCTTTTACGAGGCGGTAGTTCCAAGATTATTTCAGTAAGCCTTCCGGCGACCTTTCAGCCTTGCCATTTTTCAAAGTGCGTGGGGCAACACCGGACTCGCTCATTCTTAATGATCCACGCTAGTTCTATCCATGATGTAGGTTAGCATTGTTGCTCAAGGAGTATTTTCCTCTAGGGTGAGGGCGTGCAATGGAAGCATTGCGGGAGTGGGAAGGCTTGGCGTGCAGCGGATCTGCTCCTGAGCATCTTCATCTGCTTGAACCCCATCACACCAATATTCTGAACCACACAGTGACTATGGCGCCGATGCTTTGGGTGGACGCTAGTCGCCCTCATCGATCGTTACTAGCTGTCTTCATAGTGTGGAAATGCCTGTTATTACTACTCGCTGCCTTCACACCGGGGCCCGGGTACGACACCTCGACCACCCTGATTGATTGGAACAGTGACCCGACCAAAGCCCCATTCCCAGCCATTTTGGAAACGATCTCGACCAAATTGACCCGCTGGGATGCTATTTACTACACCCACGCTGCCAATCGGGGCTACATCTTCGAGCAAGAATGGGCCTTCGGCTACGGATGCAACCGACTGATCCATGTCTTGGCGAACGGTACTGTTTCCTGGGCTATAGAACCCACCACTAGTACAGTAACGATAATATCCTTCCAGAACTCTTCCTGGCTAACAGACTCACCAGGCTGTCGCAAGCTCGGCATCCTGGACTATGCCTTCAACGCGAGTCTGGTGGGCATCTCAATCTCCCACGCCGCGCATGGCCTGTCCGTGATCGCGCTCTACCATCTCGTCTGCGCGCTTTTCCGCGGCGCGCAGGGCGGCCGCAAGGTCGCGCTCCTCGCCGCCTGCCTGCACGTGGTGTCGCCGGCGGGGGCGTTCCTGTCCGCGCCATGCGCGGAGAGCGCATACGCCCTGTTGAGCTTCAGCGGCTCGCTGCTGTATGTGAAGAGCTTCGCCTCTTCCTCGTTGGCGGCCAGCCCCCGCTCGTGTCAACACGACACCCTGCTCGTCCTGTCCGGGGTGCTGTATGGCGTCGGCACGACCTTCCGCAGTAACGGGTTGCTGAATGGCATCCCGCTCTTCGAGGAGGCGGTGCGGCAGCTCGTCCTGCTGTCGCAGCAGGGTGTTTCACTCGCGCAACTGCGCCGCTTGCTCGCTGTCGGGACGGCCGGGGTCTGCGCGGGGCTGGGCTTCGTCCTCCCGCAGTACTTCGCCTACCGGGAGTTTTGCACAGACCGGGAACCGAGGGCGTGGTGTCGGAGGACCCTGCCGAGTCTTTATAGCTTCGTGCAGGAGCACTATTGGTACGTTTCGTCCATTCAATGCCAGTTGTTCCCGGCCCTCAACGGCTAGCCACTACGGAGTACTCATCTATGTACAACAGGGACAATGGATTTCTGAGGTATTGGACAGCATCCAACATCCCGCTCTTCGGCCTCGCCGCCCCCATGCTGGCCATCCTGTTGGCGTCGGGGTGGCAGGCTCTGAACGGAGAATTGAGGTCGCTGTCGCTGGGGGCGGGGATGCCCTCGCGCAGTCCGGTCGAAAAGCTGCGGGACTTACCGCCGCCGACGGAACCGCAACCGCAACCGCAACCGCAAGCTCGCGTGACGGACCGGCTGCTGCGGAGTCTGGCGGTGCCGCAGGTCGTGATTGCGGTGCTTACCTTCTTCAGTCATCATGTGCAGATCATCACGCGCGTGGCGTCGGGGTATCCGATCTGGTATGTGTGGGTTGCTTGCTTGCTGCTTCGGGGAGGGTCGGCCACGGAAGAGGGTGGTGGTTGGTATAGGAAGGGCAGTAGCCTCGTGGTAAATTGTATGGTGGTGTATGCTCTAGTTCAAGGGGTGCTTTATGCTTCGTTTTTGCCTCCTGCTTGAGGGCGAGGGGGCTCCGCGGGGTATGCGTTTTTGTTGGACTGGGCATGGGCATGTAGGATAGCATCACTCTCCAGATACGATTACTTCTCTATACCACTCGTTTTTGGCACTGTAACCATGATCCAGGCTCGAACTATTCCTGCTTCCCAGAGTTCATACACCCTTTGATTGGGAAATCGTGTACATGCAACCAGCTTGGTGTATGTTGTTACAGGCTTGGGATGGGATGGGATCTGAGTAGTAGGCAGGCAGGCAGGCAGCATCCCCCCGATCAAGACTCCGATGATCTTTCATTATTCATTCGCCGCCTGCTAGCATCATCTGCAATCCAGATGATCTCTTTGTCCTTGGGCAACTCAATTAATCAAGGGAATTGGCATGTATCATCCTTCTTTCTCTTTCACAATTCCAACTTGCATAGTATTTATCTGTTCTCCGGCATCCCCAACTCAGAGAGGCACTCAACGTTATGCACCAACAGGCTAATTCCGAAAATCTACTAGGTAGCAATCGGCATATACCTCTCCAATAAGTAGCAATCATCGAGAAAAAAAAAAGTGTCTAGACAGTCTCGTATTTGCGTCCAATAATCTAAAAATACAATTCATTGAGAAATTGCGACGGACCCAGTCCTTCGCAAATATCATAACAGCCCTCCAACATCATAAATACTAGGAGGCCTTCCCAAAGTGTACAAATTCATATCAAGGAAACCCGCTTCGCTTTTATCGTAAAACTTCATCCCATCATGCCCGTTACCTAAGCGCGCTGGTCGGACTGCAGAGCCTGGAACGGCTGCTGGTTGTCGACGCCTTTCTGGCGGCCGGCGGGGGTGCCGGCGGGCCCGCTCTCCGCCGACTTCAGCTGGAAGCCACCCTGCGCCAGACGGCCGGGGTCGTTCTCGCTGCCGATGTCGGTGGTGTAGCTGGCGTTGGGGGCGTCGTCGGGGATGTCGCCCTCCTTGAGGTTGGTGCCCTTGGGCTTGGTGTTGCCCAGGTTATCGAGGACGTCGTGGACGTAGGAGGGGGCCACCCCGGCCACGCCGCCTTGGTAGCCGCTGCCGCTGGCGGGCGCAGCAGCAGTTTGCTTCTGTTGTTGCTGGCCGACGGGGTGCTTGGGCTGGTGCTGGTGGGGGTGGACCTTATCGGTGTTCTTCTGCTGCGACTGCTGCTTGCCCGAAGCAGCAGCAGAGTACTCGCCCTTGTTGAGGCCGAGCTCCTGCTTGGCGGCCGTCGAGCCGCCAGTGTAGCCGGACTCCGGGAGATGGGCGCCAGGGAAGTTGCCCTGGCCGCCTAGGGCCTCCGGGTACTTGTCTTGGGTGTCGCGGTGGTTGGGGTCGATCTTGCGGGCGCTCGAGGTGTCGGTGTTGGTGACGGTGGAGTTCTTGCCGTCGACGCCCATAGGCTGGGCCCCGCGGTTCTGGGCGTAGGCGCCGCCCTTGGTGGCTGACTCGGCTGCGAGGGAGTCGTTGGTGACCGGGCCCGAGGGCTCGTTGATGGGCTGCTCATAGCGTTCGGGGTCGGAGGTGACCTATATCTGCCGCGTTAGAACATCGTTCCCCAGGGGTCCCCGGGGGGAAGCACTCGCCCACGGGGAGAATCCCGTGGAACAGGAACTTACCTTGGTGCTGCGCTGGCCGGGGGGGATGGGCTGTCCTTGGAGATCCATGATGAAGAGATTTGAGTGTTTTGTGAAAGGATGGTTGTTTGGGTGAGTTGTTGATGTGATGCGGATGGTTTGATCGCTTTGATTATGTTCGTGGGATTTGATTCTGCTCCTGTCCTTCGAACGTAACTGAGCAGGCTATATAGGATAGCATGAGCTTGCATGTCGTCAACCGGTGCAGTACATGGGAGCATGTTACATGATGTCACTCTGACATTACATGCCCACAACCGAATCCCTTGCACAAGCAGCAGAGAAATCAGTACTCATACGTCAATGAGCTGAGCCCTGTGGCGTCAACCTTCCGATCGATGACCGGGAAGAAGAAAAGCTGTTGTCATCTCCCATCCTGCTGCAGAGAGGATCCGCCCATTCCCCCATTCTGGACCCCCCTCGATTGCTCTTCGCACCAGAGGAGTGGGGAGATGGTCAGCGTTCGGTCCACACGCTTGATTGCCTTTTCCGGTATGCCGAGCAATCCTGGAATTTGATGCGTTTGTCGATAGGGAAGTGGGTTGAAATTGCGCCATGAGGGCGGTTGATACTGTGTGTCTGATGTCTGCCCGGTGCAGTGAGTGCAGTGCAGTGAGCTTGCACTCTTTCCTCATGAAGTTGACGAATGACGGACCGCGGACGTCATTCGGTCGCTATCTTCTCTCTTATCTTATCGGTCTGTATAGTGGTAACTTACGAGTAAACTGGCAGCATGCAGATAGATCTAGCATTTCAAAAAATTTCATGAACAAGAGTAATTAGAATCCAAATTATACACATATACTCAATTTGTCTGCTACTATTATAGTGCTAATTTGTACTCTGGGTTGTTGACACTCGACCGAGCCATCGGAAGGGTCGGGGGGACCTTCGCCACGGTCGCATTGACGGTGGGCTACTCGTGCTAATTTGCAATAACCCAATTCTGCCGACAGTCTATAAGTTACATTAGGATTATTAGGACTATTGGGGGTTTAAAGTATTTCAGATCAAAGATGTTGTTCCGTTGGGGTTCTTTATTAGAAGATCTTACATATAATTTTTAGACTAGGGTCAGTTAATGGAAAAAGTGGTCTGTTGAGCGGGGAAGCAATGATGTACAAAAATAATAGGAGGTCTGCTATGTCTGCTGCTATAAACATTGGGGGAATTGCAAATTGCCACGAGTAGCTTGCCATAGTGGGTTGCCACTTTGACCAATATCCCCCCATATTCCAGGGTCTCCTCACGAATGGCCCTGAACGGGCATGCTGAGAGCACTACTGTTTCTGCTTCTGCTCCTTCTCCCGCTTAGGCACTCGGGCCAGCCAGTACAGAACCAACGCACCCACCACGTTGAAGGCGACATACGCCCACATGATGCCGAAGTTGCGCCAGCGCGTGCTGTACTCCGAATGGATCGCGGCCAGATATGTGTTCGTCTCCTTCACCTTGCAGTAGTGGCAGTCGCTCGCGGCATTCGCGTCCAGCAGATACCCGCCGGCCGTGGAGAGATACTCGGCCAGATACGCGCCACACGTCTGGCCAGACGGCGGGTCCAACACGGTGAACTCATTGCCCGCGCACGTCACGTTGCCATTCGCGAGACCGGTCGACAAGACGGCGGAAACATAGTACGACAGAGGCGAGGCGCGGTAGAGGAAGATCCAGAACCGGGGCATCTGGTCCGGCGACGCCAGCACCCCGCAAAAGAAGAAGGCCAGGACGAACATGAAATTGGCGATATTGCCCCCATCATCGGCGGAGCCCGCGAAGGAGACGCACAGGTGCGCAAAGGTCGACACCCACAGCAGGAACACCCAGAAGAGGAGCCACATGAGCGCGCCTCTCTCCGTGCCCTGGCCGGCGGCGTCGGCGTAGCGGTAGAACCCCACGGGGAAGTAGAACAGTGCCCACATGAACACCGAAGCAAGGGTGTACCAGGGGATCTCGCATAGGATCTGGCTCAGCATGAACACTTGCCAGCTGTAGGTCTTGGCTGGTCGCTCGCGAGCTTCGTACAGCGAGCGCTGTGCGACGAAGTGTGGGAATTGTTGGTCTACCAGTTGCCCGACGATGCTCATCAGCTCGAAGATGGCGAACATCTGGTTTTGCAGGCCTTGGATGCTGAGTGGCGAGTTGAGAAAAACGAGGCCGATGAACAAGCTTGTGGCAGTGCAGAGTAAAAGCTTGGAGTAGATGTAGGACGGAGTGCGCCAGGTCTGTTTGAAGGTACGCTGGGATAATAGAACAAACTGGCGCCATGTTGAAACCGCAAACTCATTATAAGAGGCCAGGTCATCACTGCTGGTGTTCAGGGTATCAGATGTAGTGATGGATCGAAGCCTCGCCAGTTCGATCTGAACATCGCGGTATTCGGGGCTGGAGCGCCAGATTCCGTGCCAATCGACCTCTGATTTGCTGCCAGGGGTAGCGCCAATCGCTTCCAGCATCCATTCGCCTGGATTGGCATTCGGAGGACACGGCTTCACACCGTTTTTTTGGAAGTAATCCACCAGGATTTCAGAGTTGGCTCCAATGTCACCTGCGCGGTGTTAGCGCCTGTCATGCTTGATGTTGAGGCTAACTAGCCCTAAGAAGAAGACGACCCACCAAAATACACCGTCTTACCCCCTTCAGCAAGGAGTAACAGACGATCAAAACGTTCAAATAACATGGCTGAGGGCTGGTGGATGGTACAGATGATTGATTGACCCGCCTTGGACAGTTTGGTGAGGAGGTCGAGAATCGCCCAGCTGGTTTGAGAGTCCAGCCCGGATGTAGGCTCGTCAATGAACAGTAGCAATGGGGGCTTCGCGGCCAGTTCAACGCCAATCGTCAGACGCTTGCGTTGCTCGACATTCAGGCCTTCCCCGGGGACGCCCACCACAGCATCGGCGTAATCCTGCATGTCCAGCAACTCAATAACCTCATCGACGTAGGCCAGCTTCTCCGCTTCTGGCACACTCTCTGGTTGGCGAAGAAGAGCTGAGAATGTAAGGGCCTATGGAATCGCGATCGTTAGTGTCGATCTTCTAGGCGCTGGTGGATCTGGCGAGGCTTGTCTCTCACCTCGCGCACGGTGGTCGTCTCCAGGTGCAAATCTTGCTGCTGCGCATAACCAGTCTTGCGCTGGAAGCTCTTGTCTCGCAGCTTCCCATCAACCAGCATCTCTCCAGCCAAGATGCCCACCCCTGCGCGGCGGCCCGCAAGACAGTCCAGTAACGTGGTCTTCCCGGCCCCCGATACCCCCATGAGGGCTGTCAAAGTGCCTGGCTTAACCCACCCATCCACACGATCCAGAATCCGGCGGGGTTTACCTTTGATCTTGATATCGTAGCACACATTGCTCCAGTGGAATACACCTCGGGTGCCCTGCAAGGTCGGCTCCTTGAAGGGCTTGTAGTCACCCCTCGGCTTTTCGAGTAGGGCTGTCACTGGGCCTGAGGGCAATGACTCGACGTCTGACTTAACCCAGGGCAGGAATCGTGGGACAAATCCGCGACGGAAGACAAGAATTGCCCCTTTGGACTTCTTGGCCGTGACATACTCACTCGCTAGAAAGTAGACGAGGTGATTGAAGATCACCATGGCGATGATGATACCGACGTTGCGCCACTTGTGACTATGGTAGTAGCTGTAGGCGGAGCCAATATACGCATCCCCGTTCACGTAGTCTTGACCACGCACCGCGCCCACGGCGTCACAGGCCACACTCGTGCTGCCAGCGGACGTATAGGCTGGGATATATGACGCACAGGTGAAATTGCGCGCGTGATATTCGTTGACCATCAGCGATTCGTACCCATAAGCGACCGGATTGAGGTAGTTGATCCAGCGGCACCAGGAGAGCATGTAGCGAATTGGAACCACGAAGCCGGTGAAAACGAGCAGGGCAAGCATGAGAATCGAGGCGGGAACCATTGCTTGTTGTTCTGTTCGAGATATAGCGCCACTGATAGGTTCTTAGCCTTTGCATAACATCTCAGATGGGACAGTGCACTTACATAAACCGGAAGACTCCCGACATGGCGAGAACAATCAGAAAGACCACAAACAGGTAATAGAAGAAGTTGCCGGGTGTCCGATTGAGATTCGTCATGAAATAGAACACGAGATTGAACGAGACTGTTCCTGTGATTTTCATGGGTAAGTCGACCAGGACCGAAGCATACGACTCGGCGGAAGCGTGGTAGAAAGCATAGCGGACTTGCTTCTCGACAATCGGCCGCTGGGCATAGAGAGTCATCACCTCCAGGATTGAGGCGAATGCATTGAACAGAATCGCCATGAATAGCACGACAGCTCGTCCGTAGAACGAGGCCGTCGTCTGGTCGAGGTTGTAGAACAGAGAGGACATGATCAGGGCCATGATCACGTTGCCGATCATAACCCATACAGAGGGACCAGGGTCGGCCCAGAATCGTCTCCATCCTCGCCACATGCACAGCCTCACTTGCTGAGAATAGCTGAGGAGATAAGGCGAGTTGAGACGCTGTCCCTTGGCTTGACAAGCTCTCTTCAGCTGTCTGTAGGCGACAGAGTCAGGGCCGTCGATTGGGTGCTGGGCTTTGTAGAGCTCAATGCTCTGCTGGAGTGCTTTATATTCCTCGCTCCTTATCCAGGCAGCTGCAAAGTCGTCTGCCGTGCGAGGTGGGTTGCATTTCGCACGAACGACGCGCTCTGCAGGGAAAGCCATGGAGGTGAGGAAATCTGGGGTGGTCTGACGAGCCGGACACTCAAACCCAAGATCGACGAAGTACTGCTTCGCCCGGTGAGCGGGGCCAAAGTAAATCTGCCGCCCTTCGTAGAGGACTAGAGCTTTATCGAAGAGATCGTATGCGCTTTCCGGTGCTTGATACATTGACACTGCGCAGGTCTGACCGAATAGCTCCGACTGCAGCCGCAGCGTTTTGCAGAACTCGATGGCGTTGGCAGCGTCGAGACCGCGTGTTGAACTGGGGTTTGTTTACCATCAGTCTCAGAAGCTCCAAATTCTGGTCTGCCACTCACTTGTCCCAACACTGGAAAGGCGCATTGGCTAGGGTAGCCTCGGCAATGCTCACACGTTTGCGTTCGCCTCCAGAAACTCCCCGCACGAATTCGTCCCCAACCTTGGTGTGAATGGTGTGACTGATTCCGTACATGGCCATAACGACATCACGCAGATGCTCGCAGTATCTAAATAAGTAAATGTGGGTCAGCAATCAATTCAATCGGCGGATCAGGTTTGCAGCATAGATGACATACTGTTTTCGAGTGACGCCGTCCGGGAGCTCCCTTTGACAGCGTGCAGATGCGGCAAAGGTGAGGGTATCCCCCACCGTCAGCATAGGAAAATGAACATCAACATCAGCGGTATAGATTGCATCTCCTCGGTGAGCTGTGTGCATCTCACGATCGGAAATTCCGTGGTAGTTGAAATACGATCCCTGGTTGATATGAATGCCATTGCGATCCCCGGAGATGGCTCGGAGGAAGGTCGAGCAGCCAGACCCTGGGGGACCCAGCACAACACACATCTCTCCAGGGTTTAGAATGCCATCAAAACCTCGTAAGATGTCTACCCGTGTCTGCCCTAATTTAGTGGCGCTGGGCCACAGTCGACGGGCAATCATCCCAGGCAAGGCGAGCCAGATATTCGCAACCGTCTTCTGAAAGTCTGTTGAAGTGCTATAGCCAAAGACATGAAGATCCTGAAAGCACAAACCAACGCGACGGAAGTCCTGGCCTCTCTCCGCCACCAGCTCAGCGACCCCTGTAGCCCATGCACGCGCATTGAATCTCTTGCTGAATGGGTTCAGTGGCGATTCGGGATCATTGGCCGGAGGGTCTGCTTCCTCTTTGTCGGCAGGAAATGCGGCCATCATGTTTTCGTGAGGCTCAAGTGTGTAGTAGGAGTGATAGAAGATGCTATGACAAACGAATAAACTCACAAAGTCCACAGCTCTTGAGACATAATGCCAGAACATATATCTTAAGAGATGCTAGTCTATAGAGCTGTGGTATGTAGGGCAATACTTTCGGTCTATGCCGGTCTTAACAACGGCCGACACCCTCGGCCGACGCTCAAATAGGCAACCAAGACCGCCTCCGACACATTTTCTCGGCCGAAGTCGGGGTATTTCTCTCCATTACCTTTTTTATATTATCCCCCACAGACCAGGCTGTCTGGAGTCTGGACCCTTACCCCAGCTATCTCGGAACACGGTTTCCTTCCCTTGATCAGATAAGCACCTGTCTTCGCCCTTAGCACCAAATCTTGCTCCATGAGCTGACAATCCGGACCGCATCATAGGTAAGGCGCTGATTTCGCTGCGCCTACTCCGTATATCCTCAGCATGAGATACTCTTCCTGCGTCATACTGAATTTTTCCCTGACATGTTCATTATTCCCAGCAAGAGCTGCGTGAAAGGGCGTATGGGATCGACAATGCGCCAGGTTCCTGCGGGGCTCCGGCGAAAAGGAGACCTTGACGCACGTTCCAATATATTAGTGACATACAATCACACTGCTAGCTACTTAGTGCTGAGTCTACGCGTGGTAGCTTCAGTCTAAGCTCAAACGGGGTAAGATCTATTTTTCCAAGTTATAGACTCAAGTTCACTTATCTGCTTGGCCCATAGTAGCTCCCACCGCGACACGGATTGCAATTTGCACCGGCAAACTGCGCCTGGGAGTCTGGCAGGCTGGGACTTGCATCAATGGCTGCTGGAATCTCTCATCGCAGAATGTGTGTTCTTGCTTCGCATGGTTGTATCATTGTATATTTTCTCACGTAAGATATGTACTATGATTGCTAGCGCCGTATCTCCTCTTTCACATCAGGGGTCTCCATCCTTTCAAAAATAACAATTCTTTCGCAGCGGATGGCGTGGTGAAGCTAAGTTAATCGTGTCAGCACTAATTTCTTATATTTCATAAGGCGCGGATACCCTCTGCCATCCAAGGTTGTAATCGATTATCTCTGGATCAATCTCTTTGGACGCAATTCTATTCATACTCGGAAATGGCTTCCAAACGTTCTGCTGGCTCTAGCTCCCACAAGCTGCAATCTCAGCTTGTAGCTGAACGTGATGCGAAATCAGTGGGACGAAATCTGAATTCCAAGACGCCAGGGCGGACCCTTGCTGCCTGCGATACCTGTCGTCAGTCTAAGATCCGTTGTAGTGGAGGAAACCCTTGCATGGCTTGCCAATGGTATCCGAAAGGGTGCAATTACAGTCCCGCAGGCAAGCTAGGCCGGCCAAAGGGCAGCAAGAACAAGCGGACCCTGTTACAGCATAATCTACAACTGGAAAAGGAGCAACCTACCAGGGTAGATGAAGATACAACTGGTCGAAGCAGCGGAACGGACACCCTGCAATGGAACCGGCCCGGCCAGGAACAATTGCAGGCTAGGCAACGGTCTTCGTCTCAATCTGCATCAGGCATGAATACGTTCGACTTTGACCTGGCACACATCTTCGATAGTGGGATTGCCTTTGAAGAAGGCGGCATTCCCAAGGATAATATGGGTCATGATATGTTACTCGAGATGGACCAGAGTTACATTGAGTGCATGCGTACAGATGGGGCTTCAGCGTTTGGGAATCAGGGTTGCCTAGATCAGGTGAGCGCCGGCCAAACCAGGTTCAATTAAGTGCCTGCTATACCCAGGCTAACCTTGCTTTATATTGTCTTTCGGTCAATGCCAGGCCATGCAAGCCATAGGGAATGCCAACCTATCTACCAGCAACGATGCAACGGGACAGCCGTGTATGCCCAACTCCTCGTATGCACCGACATCTGGCCACTCTCGTGCCTCCTCCATATCTTCTGAGAGTCTGTTCACCCGTGGGACTTCGGGCTGTCTGTGCTTGCCACAACTTATCAGACTGTTGTACCGTTTGCAAGAGCTCCATTCGGCCCATGATCAATACGCTGGAGAACCCTCCGTCGAGTCAGTTCTGCGTGGCGTGCAAACCGCGAAATTGCCGTGGAAAGCCTTTATGCACTGCGACGCGCACAGCGTCGATGATAATGCCCGTAAGGCGCTTCTACTCTTTGCCATGACCATCCGTATCCTATTGTCAGCCGTTCGAAGGCTCAACAGTTCCATTAATCCGAGTCGGACGGAGGCCTTATCGGCCATTGCAGTCTCGGTGGGCACCTTCGAGCTATTCGGGGAAACGAAAGCAGAAATCATTGGGGTTGTCGTTCGACGATCTCTTGGGGCTATAACTACGGCATCGCAATATCTTTGGGAACGAGCCGGTGAGGGAAGGGCACTGACCGATGCGGGACAGGAACTCAACTGTTGGATTAAAGGACCACTGAGTCCGGTCAGTATACTTGCAGATTCCGAAGCCCCAAGGCCTGCTGGATCTGCTACGGATGGCGCGGCGGATCTCATTCCCTTTGGAACCAAGGATGACAGTATACTTTCGCTTCTCACTGTTTTAGAAAGTATAACGCGGACTCTGGAACACGAGCCTGCAGACTTGTGTGCAGGGCCTGAAGAGAAGCTCTCGCCCATGAGCCGACAACCATTGTTCGAGATTCACGCTAATAGACAACTATTCCCAAGCAAAGTTCCAAATTTTTTCAAGCAAGAAGAGACGATGGCGGAGACTAAAGAATTGTCCAGGTAAAGTCGCCGTCGCCGATCTCGGAGAATTGGAGTCAAGCCGGGGCCAGATAGTAGCCGATTTCATCCCAAGTATCTTCGAAGAACAAAAATCTCCGCACTTATGAGAGAACGATGTATAGACTCCAGAGTTTACATTCCGTGGAATGTTTTCAACATGCTTTCGCGAACCACGACAGGTAACAACTTGACAGGTGCGGAGTCGGTGTCTTGACGGGATGAACTTGGTCAACATAAATCGAAGAAAGCTAAACTACGTATGATCAATGGGGCGTAAATCAGAAAGCATTCATTCCCGTACTCCCCTGAACTCTTCGTTACCATCTTCATAGGGTTGATCTATCAAGGTCCCAAGTCAAGCATCTTACCCATCATGACGCCACTCACCACCAAGGGGATGTGGGAAACCATCAAACATTACTTCGGCGATGGCCACGTCCTTGGTTCCGCCCCTCTGCGGTACAATATGCACATCTGCGAAATGAGACGTCCTTCACCCAGCGACCGTGCGGCTGACAGTGAGCAGCATGGAAGCGCCAGATATGGCGTGGAGATCAGCGAGGAGGCGATGCCTCTATATTCCGTGTGTAAGGAAGCCGTGCTTTTTTCGTGCCTCCACTCCATGAGAAAACCAGTTGCTAATTCTTGAGAAAACAGTAGGAGACACATGCCCTCCTCCCTGCACCTGCTTCGACATGTCTACTGTGGTGAAGCGGATCGATGAGTACCTTGAGATGGCACCGGACCGCCACCAGGACGATGGAGTTATCACTAGTGGGAAGAACGACTCGGACGCCGACGAGGTGAGCCTGTACATCATGCGTGACGTGCTCAGCTGGTGGGTACATTGGGGAGCAGGCTTGCGGCGCGGGGACTATTGGAAACAGATCTACGTCGCGTTTGCCGCCATCCCCGATGATGTGCAGATCGCCCCCAGCGACTTCTTGAATGGATCGTATCAATTTCTGGGTCACACATGGGAAGACTGCAAGCGGGGGTTGCTGGGAGAGGGCATGGCACCGAGTGAGATTGAGTTTGTCGAGATGTGTCTCTGGCGACAAATGCTCACCCAATACTTTGAGAAGGTGGTTCCAGACATATACCGGCTTTTGAGGGCGAAGACCACGCTCATGACTCAGTATCGAGTTCACACGGCCAATACGCTTGGGTGTGCGGTGCTAGTTCTGGCCACCGAGAATTTGCATTCCAAAGGGGTGGATGACAATGCTCTTGAAGCAGCATCTATCGCGCAGTGTCTGAGCATGGACATGGCCAAGGAGGCTCTGGGCATCTTGCAAGGGGAAAAAACCGAAACAGTGGCAGGCAACCGGGTCCAGCTGAAGCGCGAACTACGCTGGGTCTACGTCCGGTGCATGGAATACCTTCAGACTCAGCCCAATGCGCACTTATTGCGACGCTTCGCCTCGTCCGGGCTGCATTATGTTCCCATGATGGATCGATATCTCGAGCGCGTCCGAGACAACATCCGATTCCCCATCACTGGGGCCAAAGCTCGCATACTGGAGCCCTTCATCAACCGCGCATACGTCGCTCCGACTATCAATCCAGATGGCCTGGTGTTCCGTCTCCCAGAGATAACCGGCGTAGATGGGAAACTGCACAGCAATAATGTGTTTCATGATGGGGGCGACGAAGCCCTGGCACTCACCGGAAGCACAATGCCACAGGCAGTTTAATTGGCTTGTTTGGGCGTTTTCTAGTCTCTGTGTTTGTGTTCAGTTTATTTACTGTTATTATGAGTAGCGAAGCTTTTAGCTTAGACTGACAAATGGACGATGCAGGTTTCCATGGCACAATTTGTGGGGCTATCAGCTCCGAGGGGTCAGAAAAGCTGAAACACGTGACTTTATAGAGAGTCAGAGTGACTTAGATTTTTTCTAACCTTCTTTACTTTTTATATGGCTATCTTAGAAATGATGATCATAGCCCCCAATAATCCCGATGTAAAAGAATAATTAAAGACATTTTCTAATAAACTTTCATGTAAGAACCTTCGGCCCCCAAAAACCTTAACATTCCCAATGTAAAAAGACGCTTAAAAGTTTATCTTAAATAATATGGGATTAAAAAGAGCTCCGAGGGGGTCAGAACGCTTTCAAATGGCTAAAAAGTACTGTTAGTTATTCCAAGGGGTCACAGTATACGTAAACATATGATTCCTGGACCCCTCGCACTAAATTCTGACCCCCTCGGAGCTGGTACCTCCAAAATGTGTGGCTTGCATGCCTTGAATAGGGTCACTCGGCCGAAGACGGAGCAAGACGGAGCTTTTTCCGAAAGCGGAAAGCGGGAAACGTTGAAGACGGAGATAAGCGGGAATTTGCCGTCATCTCCTCCTCTTTCTTACTCTCTCTTCCACATACTCCGGTCATTCCTGCAGCCTCTTTCGCTCTTTCAAATTGCTCCATGCTGTGACATTCTGTGGCATGCTGCTGTACTTCTCAGATCACAGATCGGTCTCTGCCCCGCATGCAGAGCCAGCAGCAACCGGCCCAGCTGCGTCGACGCCGCAGACCCGCCCTGGCCTGCCGGGAATGTCGTCGTCGAAAGATCAAGTGTGACCATAAAATTCCATGCGCACAATGTCAGCGTCATGGAACCTCTTGTATCTATACAGCTTATAGCTTCTCGTCACATGGCTCCCCAGTTAGCTCTTCACCTAATACCAATGCGAGTCCACCACCACCACCAGCACCACCACTGACCCCCCATCCGCCTCCAACAACAACGACAACAACAACAACTAACGCTCCCGGGAAGGCCCTTCAGCTTCCTGGTCAACATTGTTTCAGAATCGGAGCTTCTGCGTCTCTATCAGCTGCAGCACCTGCAGTACCTTCAGCACCTGATGCTCATGCTAGGTCAGCCTCTTCCTCAACTGATGGACCTACATTGCATGAGCTTGTGCACCGCGTGCAGAAGCTCGAAGAACTCGTCGTCACAGGAACCCGTCTCACCAATAGTCCAACTCTTCATGTCCCGTCAGACTCTGGTATAGGGACCTCCCGCTCCCATCCATCTCCTGCAGGGACACAGGAATGGCAGTCCGTCCTCAACAAATCTAGGGATTGGGGGCGAAGTCGTTGGATGGGCGCCGCCGACGAGTTCAAGGCGATCATTGCGTGTTATAGTGAGATTATGAGCAAGCCAGTAGATATCACGCAAATATCATTTCCCAGTTCCGAAGCCTCAATCTTGGTCTCCCAGGCGGGGGATTTTTTGCGCAGATGCAAAAATCGGGCAAGGAGCATTAAGATTGGTCGCCCTTCTCGAGGCGTTCTGCCTGCAGGACTTGCGTCGGTATCTCCTGCTCGCGAGACGGCAGATGCCATGGTCGAGCTATATCTCTCCACCTTTGAATCAACGTACGTATCACCGCAATCTTGACTTCGACCAACCATAAGAAATCGTTACTGAAGGGGATGGTGCAAGCAGGCAGCGAATACTCCATATTCCCACTTTCCGGGCAGAATACCGCAGTTATTGGGATGAACCGGAAGGTATTACACCAACTTTACGCCTGAAAGTTCTCCTGGTCATTGGCATAGGCTCAACTCTGTATGACCATGGAGACAGAGCCGCGGCCCTCCACAATATGGGCCGCGTACAAAATTGGATATATGCAGCTCAGGCCTGGCTTGCCGGGCCCCTCGAGAAAGATAGATTGGACATTCCAGGGTTGCAAATATCTTGTTTGACAATTCTTGCACGCCAACTGTTTTCCATCGGAGGAGATACGATCTGGATCTCGATGGGATCTATGGTTCACACTGCCATGCAGATAGGACTACACCGTGACCCGAAACATCTCCCGACGAAGTCAGTGCTAGATTCCGAACTGCGACGTCGGTTGTGGTACACCATTCTCGAGTTTGTTGTTCAGGCATCCCTCGACTCGTGGATGCCTCCACGAATCTCGTTTGATGATTTCGATACTGAGCAACCTTCCAATTTCAATGACGATCAGCTGAGCGAGTCGGCGGCTCAACCCCTACCGCGAGAAAGAGTTACGGAGACCTCAATTCAGCTAGCCTTAATCCGGTCGCTGCCCATCCGTCTTCGGATTGTCAATCTTCTGAGTGGTCTTCACTCCGAGAAATCCTATGAGCAAGTACTAGCACTCAGTTCGGAATTGACAGACGCACTTCAAGGATGTAATCACCAGTCCTTAGCAGCTTTTCATCGGAATCTCCTAGACTATCTCGCCCGTCGATTCATGATCCCGTTGCATTACTACTTCAGCAACCAGGCGCGCAGTAACCCGCTCTTCCACTACTCACTAAAGCTCAGTCTTGATGCGGCACTCGCGCTTGTCTCTCCAGAGCCAGATCCACTCTTCGCACGGCTGATGGTGACGGGTGGAGGGCCTTTCCGAGAGGGGATACGATGTGCTACCTCGGCGATTAGCCTCGAACTTCTCGCGCACGCGGAAACCCAGCGTCTAAATAGTACGCTCTATCGGACTCGCCAGTACCGGGAGTTTCTCAAGCAAGTGGTGCGGGATCTGATCGCTTTGTCCGAAGATCGGATTCGTCAAGGAGAAACAAATGTCAAGAATCACATGTTCCTCTGCATGACTCTTGCCCAGGTCGAAGCTGTTGAAAGAGGCAAGGCAGTAGAGATAGAGGTGGCGCGGGCGGCCAGGGACAGTCTGGAGCTTTGCAACACTATGCTACAAACTAGAGAGCATGGCGACTCAGTATCATCACCAGATTTTACCGCTGTTACGGCGATGGAGTTCGACGGCACCCAGGGACTGGAGTTGGGGCCTGATTTTGATTGGGAGTCTTTTTTTCCAGACGTTGCCTCAAATCAGTGGATTGGATGATGGTGAGACGATCCCGTAGACTCAAGAAATGGTTTCATTAGCTATCAAGGTATGGGTTGGTTGGAAATAACACAATAGTAGCTAATAGGAGTGTGTATGAACGACGCGCTACATTTTAACTGAAGATTGACAACATGGATACACATTCCGACCTCTATGTGGCATGCTTCAGTGTGTTGAGCGTTAGCTTCAGAAGGTGGTGCTGGTCATTGTATACTTACTAATTTAGGCTCGGACAAAGAGATTAGCTGTCATTAACTCCAAGAATGAGCCAAATGGTTACTCTATACTACACTGTAAAACCAGGCTTCTCATATGTACTTTGTACTCTGTGCATTAACGTTACTCGATGCTCGGGATTGTTGTTTATATGCATCTGCTGCCTCAGGCCGGAATTCTGTCCGCCTCCCCGGCACTTGTCTTCCTGTCTTTCTCCCCATTCATTCTGCTTCCACATCATTCATTTCACAAAAAATTGATCATTCAATCAATTTATAGTCTCTGACTGTTCATCAAGCCAAAAACCCCGTTTTTCTCCAACTCCTCACGAACCTCCGGATTAGACTCTCATCAACTGGTCCCAGTCGAGCCAGAGTTGGGGAATGCTCTCTGGCCTTGGCTGTGCCCATCAGAAGACCTCCACAACTCATGCGGATGAAGTTGGACTCTAGAAAGTCCACCAGCAAGTACGCTGGATTTGCTCCCTGCGCATTGTTGTCTTCCTGACGTGGCCAGTGCTTCACGCGATCGATCCATTCTGAGAAGGGGAGAATTCTACTGTTATCCTGCGAAATGCCCATCTCCACTGCGATCACCGCCAGGACCTCCGCCCATCGCTGACGAACGGGATTTTCAATGTGATACACTGGGTACAGTGAGAGCGTCTCGGGCTGGCACAAAATTTCAAGCAGACCCCGCGCAATGTCATCCGCCGGCGTCCACCCCATCGTCCCCGGTAGGTCAGGCAGCACGCCCAATGTCTGGGACGACTTGAGCAGAAACGGCACATGCTCGAATGGATTCCAATACCCGTTGATTGTGCTACCGGCAATCTGGCCTAGGCGTACGATGGTGGCCCGGAAGCGTTCCGGATGTCGGTGAAGTGTTGCATCGACCATTCGTTCACAAATATACTTGGCGTCGCCGTAGCCCGTGGGAAGGACACTGTCGATGTTGACACGGTCCTCGAGTACAATAGGTGTGTTGGTCCTGATCGGATGGTGGCCAACAGTGGCGATAGAAGAGATGAACTGGAAGCTGACTGGGCAGTCTTTGGGTCGCTGGCATGAAATCGCGCCACTCAGCTCCAGCAGATGAGCCATGATGCGCAACTGTGGCTCAAATCGCCGGACAGGCCATTTGGCATGCATTAACCATGCATTGTGCACAATGTGCGTCACATGTTTAACCAGAAACTGGTATGTTTCACTTGTCAGGCCCAATGTCTTCGACCGAGCCATGTCTGTTGACGCCTCGAAAACCTGTATCTTAGCCTGGGCGTCGAAAGGGAGAACAATGCCCCGCTTGAGCAAGGCTTGAATCTGCCTCGGTCGCGCTGTCTGACGCTTATCAGAACGGTTGAGACAGATGACCTGTGCCACGTCACCGCGTAAAGCCGCCTCCGCCACCAGGTGTGCCCCCAACCCTCCAGTGCCACCGGTTATCAGGACACATCTGCCGGTTGGCCTTGAGAGAGTCACTTTGCTCCCAGAAGGGTGTCGCATTGCTTCTTCGAACCCTTGTGTAAGGTCCTGAACGTACTGTGACACAGTTACCTCGCGGGCTGCGCAGTCGGCCGATGGTGGGATTCTTCGCGAATCTGATATTGATTCGTGTCTAATCATTCAACAAAATGCTTTAGAATATATTGTAAAATCTCTATGAAAAGGAATACAGACATAGACGCGCATGCAGTTCGATAGCACTCACCGTGTCGCTGTATCAGCCGCCGCGAGGATCACTTTTTGAATCTGAGTCTCGGGCCTGTCACCGTCTGTCCATGCGACATAGCCATACCCAGCAGCCTGAAGATGCTTCTTCCATGCCGCCTCATGCACCAATGCGTGCTCTCGTTGATCTTCAAAAAGCCACCAGCCCTCGAACATCCCAAATATTAGATCAACCCACCATGGCGGGCGTGTCATCTCTATCATGACCAGCAATCCATCTGACCGCAGCGCTTTGCGCACGTTCGCTGTGCTTACACACAAGGACTTGGTTGCATGAATAGCATTACTCGCAATCACAATATGATGCCTGCCTTCTAGGTCCTCCTCTGGTTCCTTCTCAATGTCATGGGTACGGAATGTCATCCAAGGATACTGCTTTCCGAAAGTTTTTCGTGCTGTCGCTACCAGGGAAGGGGACAGATCTGTGAAGGTATATTCGACCGGTATGCCTGATTGCGCCAACAGCGGCACAATGCGCTTTGTTGTTCCGCCGGTGCCCGCTCCCATTTCCAAGACGCGAAGTGGGCTTTGTTTGCCTAGATCTATCGCGCTGGACCGGCGCTTTATTGTCTCACAGAGTCGACTAAGAAGATCCTCCACCTGGGTGATGAGTGCTCGATTCAACGGCCATTCTGCGTACCATCGACTGAGCAGGTCGCGGCCCTCCTTTTGTCCGAATAGCAGTTTCACTCCATCCGTTTCACACATTAATACCTGGCTTAGAGCATGCCCGGCATACTGAATCAGCTCCGTTGCCGACTGCTGGCTGGAATGTTTGCTGAGGAGCTCTTTGTATATCTCTTTGCTGTGCCGTCCTGGGAGTGGCACAGCTGTTCGTGTGATCCTGTCATCGTCTATCTTGATGATTTGAGTTTCAGTTTCCAGCATCTTGTATAAATGTGCCACGAATCGCTTATGCTCGCTGCGGTGCGGGATTCGCGAAAGCTGGGTGCCAGAGCTGGCATTATGGAATCCTGCACCCAATTTTTCGAATGTCTCAATGGTCAATGCGACGGTAAGTTGATTTTGCAGTGGAAGTGATTGAGCGACATAGGCGACATCTCCCATCTCTTCAATGCGACTGTCGGTGATCCTTTTTGTCTCGCTGAAAGCACTCGTCACATTCTCGAATGGCAACAAAGAAAGAAGATTTGTTTCCGAGCCCTTCTCAAGTTCGTCTTGTAGGTAAGACTCGGAGAATGCACTGCTCATACTGCTACTTGTGTGGTCTGTGGCATCTTCGTCGAAAGAAGAGATGGCACTTGGTTCATCGGTGTCACCGTCCATTGTCTCGATACCTAACTCTCGAATGATGCAAGCCATCAAGCTCGGCATGTCAACCACTTGTAGGACATCTGTCTGCGGAAGCGTCATTCTGAGAGCAGATTCTATCTCGTGGATCATCTCCATGCCAGCAAGGGAGTCGATGCCCAAGTCAGCCATCATACTGTTGTCCCCGATCATTTTCACATCCAGTCCCGACAACTCTGCGATAATCCCCTTCACTGTTTCTGTTACGTCAGCTAATTTCCACCCAGTGGGCTTATCGTGACACTTTTGCGATAGCGGCTCTGGCCGTGCATGACCTGGCATTGGGTTCCCTGTTTCTGTTGAGGAATGAGCACGGTGGTCTGAGTTGCCCCCGTCTAAGTCAAATGCCTGAGTTAAAATTGAAGAATTATTCGGCCTAGCATTGGATCTCAGGGACGCAGGCAGCCATGACGGCTCTGTGAGAGAGGTGAGCAGCTTCGTCATGGATGCCTTGGGAATCTTGACATAGGAGATTCCTAATATGACCTCTACCAGGGTTCCGTCCACGCCATTGAAGACAAACACATCGGTTAGGGAGGCCTGTTCTGATGGACGCTGATGCACTGCATAGGCATGAAAGCTGTTGACTCGTGTACTGGTTGGATGGGCCCGCAACCACTGATCAATGCCATTTGCAAGGTAGACATAGCCGGGATCTCGGTCAGTGAAACAATTGATCCACAAACCGCCCAATTGGCAGAAAGTGTCGGCAAGATGGGGGTCGAACCACAAGCGAGGGTTTTGGCTCAGGCGAATGATGTGACCGGCAGTTTCGTTGCCTTGAACGGTCAGCTTCTGCAGTCCCCGAAATTCAGCCCCGTAATCCACAATATCCGAAAAGATGCGGTAGATTGTTCGATTGGCAAGCGTCTCGGTAACCCTGGGGCTTTCCAGCAAGTCCAGCGCGCGAGCGTGTTGGAACAATCTCTCAAAGCGGATAAGCTGACGCCTCAGATCAGAATCTTCGGGAAATGTCAATGCTATCTTGCCTTTGGTATGCAGCATTTCGTTGGCTGTAGAATCATTTCGAGTTCGGCTAAATACTTTGAATGTCCACTGAAATTCACCCACTGTGTCTGGGCTGATCTCGATGTACGTCTTTTGACTACCATTGGCGCAAACTGGCGATACGTATTCGACGTCATGAATCTGTGGCTGGCGTTGCTGTGTCTGGATCCCTGAGTACATGATCCCTATCCCATCGAGTACAAATCCAATTTGGAGTGTCGCTGAGAGAATGGGCGCAGTGTCGATTGTGACGTGCCCATTCAGAAGCTGTTTGTATTTTTCTGTGGTGGTGTTGATTTCGAACAATGCCTGCCTCTCAATCGAGCCATCTGTGTAACCAACAAAAGCCAGCGCCTTCTCTCGAGCTACTGGGTCATCCTTTGTTGCCGGTGGTGCCTCAATTGGTGATTTTAATGTCATCCAATGGCGACTTTCTGGATCGAACTGGTACGGAGGTAGAAACAAAGGCTTGACGTCAACTTGCAGCGTGCTTTGTTTCTTGTGATGAGCCCAGTGTTGGACGTTCAGGCCTAATTTCCACAGCGAAACGATGCTCTCGGTCAATCTGTTCCATCCATCCTCACAGTTGGCAATGTTCACGGCATGGAAGCTATGGACGCCTGGAGCCCCAGCCAGGGCATGAGCCGCCATCGAGGTGATAGTGGAGTTTGTGCCTGCCTCGAGGAAGACACACTGGGATGAACCATATCGCCTCTTCAACCGCATGACAGCTTGGTAGAAGTAGACAGGGTTACGCATATGGTCCGCCACAAATTGCCCGGTTAGTTTGGATTCATCCGTGACCCCTTCTGTGGCGAACTCGATGGGGATCTTGGGTCTGTGAAATACCAAATCCTCGGCACTTTGCTCGAGGTCCTTGAAAATCACATCCACCAGCACAGAATGAAACGCATTTGTAACATTCAATTTTTTGCATCTGAGGGACTGGGTACCGGCGAGTTCTGCAGCCACGGCATCAATAACGCGAACCGGACCAGCCACAGTAAAGCTCCTTGGTCCGTTGTAGCATGCGATTGAGGCCGGCTGGTCCGAGCTTTTACTGTTGGCCATGGCGAGGACTTCAGTAACCACATTGAGATCGCCTTCCACCGCAAGCATAGCACCTTTATCAGGTCCCCAGCGATCACGCACTAAAGTGGAGCGTCGCACAATCATCTTTAAAGTATCCTCCACTGTCAAGACCTCGGAAATGCACAGGGCTGTGAGCTCGCCGAAGCTGTGGCCCACTAAGGCAGAGGGCTTGATCTTGGAGTCCAACCAGCTGCGTGCACAAGCATATTGAACGGCGAAAAGCATCACCTGGAGCTCAACTATGTTTGTTATCGCTTCGCGGCGAAAAACGCCAGGAAAGATCGTTGTACATCCTAGAGACTGGGCAACGGCATCGACGTGGTCAAGATGAAGGCGAAAGATGGCAACATTCTCGTATACCTGAGTGTCCAACCCCACGTAGGAGGAGGTCTGACCCCCAAAGCACAATATCAGGTTGGGAGTTGATCCCGGTGCTCCAAAGCAGCGGTCTGCATCGTCCTTCACTTGAGCAAACTTCTTCAGGCGGTCGTCCAACTCCTCCGATGAGCTGGCTGCGAAGATTAGTCTTGAGCCCAGGGTGCGATTACCCTGGTGGGCAGAATTAAATGAGACATTGGCGAGCGAAGCGTTCGGTCCCAACTTTGCGAGATATCTTTGAAAGGCCTGCGCGTTGCGGTGAAGAGCTTTGTTGTCCGATCCACTGATCCAGAATGGATACTTGATCCCAGGCTGAACCGTTGCTCTAGCCTTCTGTATTCGACTTTGAATCGGGGCTTGCACGACCACTGCAGACGCATTGGATCCCGAAGCGCCATAATTGTTGATCAAGGCTGCACGAAAGTCTGTCTGCCACGGACGATCCTGGGTCGGGATGAAGATTCGATCCTCCGGTGAAGCCTCCAGGGCTGTGCTAACGGCGGTGAAGCTACCCTGGGGTGGCAATGCCCCCTTAATCATCATGAGTAGTACTTTGATCAAGCTCATTATGCCGGAAGTACACTCCAGGTGACCAATGAGCCCCTTCACCGAAGAAACCATCAGGTCCGGTCCTAACCCGCGATGTGAACCTCCTAAAGCTTTGCGAATGCTGCCATACTCGGCTGGATCTCCCACTGCCGTCCCAGTACCATGAGCTTCGACCACTGAGATCTGCGATGGAGTGACCCCGGCTTTGGCCATAACCCTGGTGAATAGATCACTCAATGATGGAGTATTTGGCACGAATATCGGAGAGCAGTTTTGGTTCTGCTGCACCGCAGTTGCCGCGATGACTCCCAGAATGGAATCTCCATCTGCGAGCGCCCGACTCATCCGTTTAAGAACAACAGCCCCAACCCCTTCTCCCCGACAATAGCCGTCTGCCTTCTCATCAAATGGCTTACACTGACCGGTTGGACTAAGGAATGAGCCTGCTGCTAAGTTCTGAAACCACTCCGCTGAGGTCAAGATGTGCGACCCACCGGCAAGCGCTGCCACGCAATCTCCCGCCAGTATCGCCTGGCAGGCTTGATGCACTGCGACCAAGGAAGAGCTGCAAGCTGTGTTTATGGTGAGACCTGGTCCGGTCCAGCCGAAGAAATGGGAGATTTTGCCCGACAGAAAACCTTGCAGATTCCCTGTTGCAGTGAAGGCGTTGGCGATATGGCAGGCTACGTTATTTTCGTAATCGTTCAAGCATGCACCGATGAAGCATCCGACGTGAGTATCGCGATTCTCGTCTTCATGTTGGAAGTAGCCGCTTTGTTCGAGTGCCTGGTAGGCGACCTGTAGGATATGGCGCTGCTGTGGATCCATCGCGGCACTTTCCCGGGCACTTTTCTTGAAGAAACGATGATCGAATTGGTCATGGCCGTCGATGAGATTCGCGAACCACTTGCGGGTCATATTCGGGTCTGCACTGGTGCGGAACTGTGTGTCGCCAAAGTAAAAACGGCCTGAGGTTCCAGTGCCGGGGCCGATCTCCTGGTGCTGCGACTGACCCCGGAGTAACAATTCCCAGAACTCCTCGATGCTATTGGCGCCGGGGACTTTGCATGCCATTCCAACAACTGCTATGTCGTTATCCTGCCACATACGCTCAGGCTGCTGGTCCGTCCTACTCGGCGTTTTCTGATCTGGGAGGTACAAAACTTGCATATTCAGCCGACCTTTCACAGCTAATGATGGCGGAATGCTTCGTTCGGGCCCGAAGTCTAGAACCTGCACCCTCTTGTCGTGATTGTTCGCGCTCACTGTGGCAGAGAAAGCCTGGTACCACTGTGAGGACTCCACCAGAATGGCCCGGAGCGCATGAACATGTAAGGACCCATCTGTCAGGATAGCTGCGGTGCTGTTATTAGATCGGGACACAAGTCTGAGCGTAGAAGCATCTGGGAGTTGAAACTCCGCGTGGCAATCGCAGAAGGTGGTAAGTGAATCTATCAGTCCTTCATTGTCTGCAGAATGAAATCGTCCGTACAGGCCGATCTCAGACACGGCGATTCCTGCACTCTCAAGCCGACGTACCAGAGCCGGTATGCTTTGCGGAGCGCTTGTGACTGTGGCGCGCTTTTCATCGTAGTAGACTGAGATATAGGCCTTTGGAAAACCGCAGTACGTTAGTTTAGCGTGATCAGTGGAATCTGGGGACCAGCCATTGTACAGTACATGTGGAAAGTTCCGGATGATGTCTGCCAGCTCATTTTCTCCCTCGGGAGTACTCCAGGCTGCACTCAGGGATTGAAATCGCCCCAGTCCTAAGCTGGCATCCTGGCTATCGACCATGAGCCCAATCAGTAGGCCTAAGCGCACAGCTGCAGCACCATGTATATGCAATTCCTCGGTGCTCTGAGAGCTCGACACAGCAAAGGCGCTGAGTAACCCCGTGCAGAGCCCCAGAGTCTGTGTAGTCTTCGCCTCTGGACCCCTTTGATGCCGATACTGACAATACTGGGCCAACTGAGCTATGACCACCAAAGGGAGTAGCACGCTGTTAGGCAGCGGTAGCGGTATAGCAGTTTCAATGGGGCGATTGCCCCTGAAGAGCTCCTCTAGCTCCCTTAACAGCCTGAGTGCTTGGTCTCCTGTTGCCCGGTGGATAATGTTAGCGGGGATGGAGGCGAGCACGGTTCTGCAGGCGTGAGGAAGCGTCTTCAGAACATCAGCAAGCCAAAAATTCTCTTCGTGTTGCCTAAGCACTGCACACAGGTGCTCAAGCGTCGATGCATTGAATGAGAGCGCCAATGAGCCCCACAGCAGAATCTGAGGGCTGAGATGGTTGTTCAGGCAGGTCATTGTGGGATTGTCTTGTGGTGGGCGGGCAGGAGGACATCAACAAGGAAACGATAGATGGCTGGCTTGAGGCTTGACTTTTCTCCCCATTGCAAGCGCAACTGCAGGCCGACTGTGGCTATATCCTGACTACCTGCCCATCAGACTCCTCTGGCATGTCTGATATCAGCTGTGGCAGATGTTCCTCGCCCTATCTCTTTCCCCGGGCCCGGCGACTTTTCTGGTCTTTCTTCGGACAATATCTTGATATATCTGCCTTAGTCTCCGCGACTGACCCCCGTGTAGTATCTTCCGAATGTACCTGACGAGGCAAATATTAGCCTTGTATTCTCAGTTCAATAATGGCCTGCCTAAACCCAGGAGCCTGATCATCAAACCGAATGAGTCCAACTACCCGCTCTGGTGTTGCCAACCACCGACAGGAGGGAAAAGGAGACATGGCACCGCACACCAGTCCGCAAATTGCTGTTGTGGGTGGTGGCATCGTCGGTATCATCCTCGCTCGAGGACTTGTGCAGCAGGGGATCTCTGTACGAGTCTATGAACAAGCCGCGAGCTTCCGCGAGATTGGGGCTGGCATTGCATTTTCGGCCTGCGCGCGTCGCTGCAGTACGTCGACACGGCCACCCCATTTGAGTGTCAATTCATCTTCATCTGATAGATCTGTCTCTAGTGGAGCTCATAGATACCGGAATTGTGGCAGCTCTAAAGCGCTGTGGTGCAGTTTCCGTCTCAGATGAGAATGAGGCTGACGACTATCTCCGCTGGATCGACGGCTACAACCTTCACGATGGACACAACGCAACCTACCAACGCCCTTTAGCTCAGATTGGAGGCGCTGGGTTCACTGGCTGTCGTCGAGATCAGTTCCTCGAGGAGCTTGTCAGCGAGATGCCCCCTGGGCTGATCGAGTTCGGAAAGCGTCTAGTCATGCTGGAAGATCAGCCAACAGGTCCTGTCATACTCACTTTCACCGATGGAACCAGCGCCGAAGCTCATGCCGGTATGTTTGTATACGATCTCACGGCTGGTCTGCCTTCGCCGTGCGGGACGCTTACCAGAGTTACACTATAGTCATCGGTTGCGACGGGGTCAAATCCCGCGTTCGGAAGTATCTTTTCGGTCCTGATCACGGCGCTTCACACGCTCAATACACACAGCATGTTGCATATCGTGGCCTAGTGTCTATGAGCCGCGCGGTTGAAGTGCTTGGCCGGTGGAAAGCGCACAACTTTCATCACCACGTTGGCCCCGGGGCACATCTGACTCACTACCCTGTGGCTAACAATGCCGCCCTAAATGTAGCCATCTTCGTGTCAGACCCTGAGCCTTGGCCGGACCAGAGTAACATGGTCACTCAGGGTCGCCGCGAGGACGTCGAGTCATTACTCGCCAAGTGGCATCCTACCGTGCGCTCGCTGGTTCGCTTGCTTCCAGACACACTGATGACCTGGGGACTATTTGATTTGGCTGAATTTCCAGCTCCAGTATACTGTACTGGCCGAGTGTGTATTGCAGGGGATGCTGCGCATGCCTCGAGCCCGCACCACGGTGCAGGTGCCTGCCTAGGGGTGAGTGATCCCCTGATCATAATTGATCTTATTCTGACGCTTGGTGTGTTTTCAGGTGGAAGATGCTCTGTGTCTTAATGTACTCCTCGGACATGTCTACAAAACAGCAACGAAAGACCCTGTGAAGGCAATGCAAACTGCATTCGAGACCTTCGACTCGGTGCGTCGGCCACGAACCCAATGGCTGGTCAATAGTAGTCGGCGGGTGTGTGATCTATACCACCAGTCTGAATGGGCTGATCCTCGACGCTGGACCAAGGCCGAGACGTGTTTCGAAGAGATCAGAGATCGTTCGTACAAGATCTGGAACTTTGATGTCGAGGACATGGTACAGAGAACATTGGCGGAGTATGAGAGGAAGCTGCGTGGGGTTCCCGTCGATGACAAACACGGTTACCGACTTTGAGGCTGGATATGTAGATAGCGAGTGGTGAGTGAAACTAGGGCTGTAATATCGACTTCGAAGGTAGTCATTGCCTCCATGCATGTTCTAGTCTCCGAGGAGTTAGTTGGAGTGTCACATAAAATAGCCCGCAAATAGTTTCCGAGAACAGTCGGTCTTATATGAATTCCAATATCCGGCCTTGGTCTGCAGTTACTTCCGCTAGTATCGCTATTATAAAAGAAAATTTCGACCAAGAATTAGCCATGGGAACAGCTGGCAAGACGCTGGTCTTCATCACCGGCGCAAACACTGGACTCGGTGAGCAATTATTACCATCTCGTTTTGAGGAACGGGTCCCATTGACGTCGAGAGCAGGATTTGAGGTTGCCAAGGTGCTCCTCAGTCGCCCGGATTCATATCATATCCTCATCGGCTGTCGTGGCGCCATCAGTCGTGGTAAAGGTGCCGTCGCCAGACTGATCGAATCTTCACCCAGGAGTACGTCCACCGCCGAACCAATCTCTGTCGACATCACAGATGACATCTCCATTACGACTGCATTCGAGTATGTCCGAGAGAAATGGGGCTATGTTGATATTTTGGTTAACAATGCCGGTACAGTCTGTTCTACAGCTGATATCTCGATTTATTGACCCGATTTGCAACCTCCAGGTATAGCCCTGGACACCGCCGTCACAGCGGGGCGAATAACACTACGTGAAGGTTGGAATGAGACCTATAATGTGAACGTTACTGGCACTCACCTCTTTACGACCACCTTTGCCCCCCTTCTACTGGCCTCCAGGGCGCCAATCCCACGCCTCATGTTCATCACAAGCGGCCTTTCCTCCCTTGCGGAGCATGCAGATGGCGTAAGCTCGCGCTATACCTTGGCACCCCCGGGGTTGCCCAAGCCGGACACTCTCTGGTTTCCTTATCGAGTGAGCAAGACGGCGATGAATATGCTTGCGACGGAATGGGGACGTGTGTTGCGCAATGACAAGGTGGCTGTGTTCAACATTTCGCCGGGGTTTCTGAATACGGGACTAGGGGATGATCGGATGACTGGAGAGTCAAGGGATAAGAGCGTCATGGGGGCAATAGATCCTCTCATCGGAGCGACCTTTTGCGCGGACGTGATTGCGGGCCAGCGGGATGAGCAATCCTGGCCCGTCAAGGTACTGCGGAAGGACGCCATCCAGCCCTGGTGATTACTGCGTACTATTCTACTCTCCGTCTCCCTGCGGAGAATTCCTGTCTTTTTTTTTTTTTGTTTTTGGTCCGAATGTGCTTGCTCTGCCTCGGGGGCTATTACTGGTGTTAGCAGCAGAAGAAAGCGTCCTCAATGTCTATAGTACATGGCAAATAATTGACAGATATAACTATCATGTTGGTCAGAGACAAGAACCTCGAATGCACAAACCCTTTTCCAACCCCCACCCCTTCTCCAGGCCCACGATTAAGAGTCATCATGCAGTCCGACGATGTCACTCCAGGCATCCCGATTGTCGATATCAGTCCCTTCCTTGATCCCAATGCTTCAACCGAAGCCCGCCTGGCCGGTGTCGCAGCACTCAGTCAGGCTGCACACATATACGGGTTTTTCAACCTGGTCGGCCATGGAATTCCCGATTGGGTTCTGGAGGAGATCATGACGGTCAACAAGATGTTCTTCAATATGTCCGAAGAGGACAAAATGGAGGTGTGGATCAACAAGTCCTTGGGTCGGTCTTTCAGAGGTTATGAGCCCCCAGGGATTCAAACCCACCATCCGGGACTACTGCCTGACATCAAAGAGGTAAGTCATTCCATCAGCCAGAAGTATTCCACTGCTGTTTTGTAAACCAAGAGACGGACTCTCTAATGGTCGAAAGACCTTCATGGTTGGGCGAGAGGTGCCAGAAGAAGACCCTGACTGCGGGTCGTTTTCGACCGGGCCCAACCTGTGGCCATCTCGACTCCCCAAGGCTGCATTCCAAGACCGAGTCATGGCGTACCAGAGCCGAATGGTGAGCCTAGTCCGCACGATTCTCGACATTCTCGCCCAAGGTCTGCCAGCAGAATGGGGTTGTTCACCCGAGGTGTTCCACGATTTACTTGTCAAGCCCTCCATCCCAATGCGCTTTCTACACTACGCACCCGTACAGGCAGAAGAGGATGCTCGTCAGTTTGGAGGTAAGGCTATATCCCTTGCCCTTGGACAACATGACACCTAATGCTTACTGGCGAGCCCCGTGCAAGTAGTGGCCGACCATACCGACTTCGGATGTGTGTCCATTATCTTGCAGGAACCAGGGACTACGGGTCTAGAAGTATACCATCCACCCTCTGAATCCTGGGTGCCCGTCCCGGTGGTTGAGAATGCCTTTGTGGTGAACATGGGAGACATGATGCAGCGTTACACGGGGGGGTTCTACCGCAGCGCTCGCCATCGGGTGTTGACCAACCGTCTCAATCACCGCTATAGCGTCGCTTTCTTTCTGAATGGAAATCTGCAGCTCAATGCCAAGGCTCTGGATGGTTCGGGGGGAGAGACAGTGGTCGGTGAATACATTCGTGGTCGTCTGATCGAGACGATGGGGTCTACAGGTCGAGTCCTCCAGCGCGAGGTGACCAGTGCTTGATTCCTGACAATCGATAGTAGGTGGTGATAAATCGAGCATGAATATGAACCCGGGGAGTTTTTTTCTTTTTCTTTTTTTTTTTTTCTTGTTTTTTGGGGGGTCAACTATCAGCATAGGTATCCAACAATATACGCCGAGAATCTGGCAAAGCGAAATAATATCCGTGAATAGTCGCCGCTTGCGCCGGGGTTCAGTATGTAGCCGTAGCTGCAGCTAAAATATTGAGGGCGCTCATGGCATTGTAACATCCAAAAGAACTCACCTCATTCACTTTCGCATTCCCTTACGCGATGGACTCGCTGGCTAAGATCTTCTTGTCGCTGCCGCAGGTAACATTGAGCGGTGCGGGACTGCTGGGGATAGCATGTCACCAGAGTCTTCTGCAGCCGTTCGAGGTTGACAGCTACGGCTGGGAATTATTCTTAACCTTCTGGATTGGGATCGGAGGCTTGCTTTCTGGTTATCTACATGTGGCAGAGCTGGGCGTCATCGATGCTTTCGTCCGCAGCTCTGCAGTTGGAGCCGCTTTTTTGGCAGGCATTTATGGCAGCATGTTGATGTATCGTGCATACTTCCATCGACTCCGTCGTTTTCCAGGCCCATATCCTGCGCGCCTTTCGAACCTATATCAGTTAGTAGTTGTCCCTAACTGAATGACTGACTGACTGACTCCAACGGGAACAGTTTGCTGTCTATGGCAGGCACGAAATTGAAGTACCATCTGCATGTTCAGAAGCTACATGCTCGTTACGGTGATTTCATCCGAACAGGGCCACGCGAGCTGACCATATTCCGCGCCTCCGCCATCGAACTCATCTATGGCTCCTCGTCCAAGTGCACCAAAGGCGCCTGGTACGATCAGAACTCCGGCGATCCCGACAAGGTTGGAATCGAGAATCTTCGCGATGCAGCGAAGCATCGGCTGCGACGGAAAGCGTGGGACAAAGGACTGGGTCTTCGAGGTAATGCGATGCCTGCTGTTGTATTAACCTCACTTGTCACGACGCAACTGTCTAACAATGTAGACATAGCGCTGGACAAGTATGAGGCTCGAGTGACTGCGAAAGTCAACCAATTGATGGCTGGGATTGGCACCGGCAAACCGGTGAATATCACCCAACACAGCACCTTCTATGCTTGGGACGTGATGGGAGAGATCGCCTTCTCGAAAGACTTCGGCATGTTGGAGTAAGAGTCTCCAGGTGGATTGTTTGTAAGAGGAACGAGGCACCCATACTAACTCTTTCATCACACCACAGGACGGGGCTCGAGCACCCTGCAGTCGATGGGCTGCACTGGGCCATGACCACAGCTGGGGTTGTCACGACTCTCCCGTGGCTGATGAATATGCTGCGTGTTATTCCAGGGGCCACCGGTCGGTTCGAACGCTTTGCCGGCTGGTGCTCGGAGCAGCTGAATACTAAACGCCAGGCACTTCTACGACAGAAGGCTGAAGGTACACTGGGAGAGCCACAAGACGTCATGTCGTGGATCATAAGAGCCCAGCAAGAGGGGGATAGGTCCGCTCCACCCACGGAGTCGGCCATCAAGGAGGACGTACGCACCCTGATTTCGGCCGGCAGGTATGTGAAGCGCTATATCCTCCCCCAGTGTGTCGAGACCAGCTGACACATTTTGGCCTGAAAGTGATACGGTCGCTATCGCCTTTACCAACTTGTCAGTGCTCCCCTTTCTAATCCACGCCTGGTCGAGATACACTTGACTCAATACTAAACCTCTGTAGCCTATACTTTATGGCCAAAAACCCGAGGATCTACCGGAAGCTGCAACGACTAGTGCGCGAGAGCTGCCCCGATGGTGGGCCGGAGAGCTGGACTTATGAACAGCTCAAGCGAGTCTCCTACATTGACCAGCTGATCCACGAAACGCTACGGTTGCGCCCGCCGGTGCCAATGGGATTTCCGCGTGAGACCCCGCCAGAGGGTTTACAGGTTGAGGAGATTTACATTCCGGGGAATGTCATTGTCAACGTTCCAATTTGGGCGATTCAACAGGACGAGCGCTATTTCGAATCGGCGACTGAGTTCCAACCGGAGCGCTGGGGATCCCTCACCCCACAGACAGCCGCGTATCTTCCTTTCCAGCGGGGCCAATTCACCTGTGCGGGGAAAGCTCTCGCGATGATGCAATTGCGAATGCTGATCGGGTGTGTGGCTCTACGGTTCGACGATCTGGCGTTTGCGCCCGGAGAGGATGGGGTGGTGTTTTGGACGGAGGCAAGAGAGACTTTGACCTTGTGGATACCACCATTGAACATGATGTTTTACCCAGCGGAAACGAGAAAGGATGAAGGGGGAAAGGGTGTCGGGCCATTTTGCTGAGGGGACAATTGCAGATGAAACAGCTACGAAGTATCTACAGGCAGCTATATGTACTGTACGTGGTTTCACACTTTACCGGCGTGGGATCAATTTAGGACATTCCAGTAATGGCACTACTTTCTAACAACGTTGACTTTTGCAATTGAGATGATGAGATACGGGTAACTCCCGTCGCATCGGATCAGGAACATTCTGCAAGCGTAGATCTATCGGCTGTCCCAATGTAAACAATTCTTTACTACACGTTTAGGGTGGATTGGAGGAAGTATTGCTCTCGGAGACCGTGATCATTCATTACAAGTGCTCATTCGTTATAGTACATGCTTTAAAAGGAAAAAAGGCTTTTCGATGTAGCAATAGCATCGAGGTATTTACCGGGCAAGGGCATCCTTGGGCAGACCCTCAAGGTTGTCCTTACCCTGGCGGCCGACGTCGCTGCCGGGCTGTGTGTTCTGGTGCAGCTCCGATCCATCGACGCGGACGCTGCTGCTGGCGGTGGCGGGCTCCCGCAGGGCGCTGTTGTTCTCGCCGGAGACGGGGCCCTCCCGACCGCCCGAGCCGACGTTGACGGTTCTCTGATCGGCCGAGTTCCAGTCGCTGGCGACGGGGGGCTGGTCAGGCAGGGGCAGGTTGGCCTTGGTCTTCTCGATCTGTTCGCCCTTGTTGGCGTTGTTCTGGTCGACGATGGACTGTTGTCGATGAGGTCAGAAAACTGGGCCAGCGGTAATAGAAGCAATCAGTGGTGGTCTCTCCTTACCTTCATGGCGGAAACATTGGAGTTGGCAGGGGTCTGGCCAGCATGGGCGTGGGAGGCGTGAGACTCAGGCTTGCGGATGTCCTGCTGGGTGGTGTGGAAGGTGGTGTCGGCCATTGTGATTATGGAGATGAGGTTGTTTGGAGGTGCTAAAAGTTTGGAGGGTAGAGATTGTGGATGGAATTGATTGTTTGGAGGTTGGATTGGTTGTGAGTTGATTGTGTTCTGAGATGAAGAAGCAAACTCTCTGAGAGGCAACAAGCAGCTTTTAATATGTTGTCTTCGAGCAGGGTTTGGTGGTTGATGGCCGGTGACGTTAACGATGTCGACGTCATAAGGGCCGAGCTCTCCTTGGTTCGCCTTGCACGCAACCCAGTCTGGGAACACACAACGCTCAATTTTTTCGACTCAACTGCAACCTGAGCAAGTGTCCACTTTTGCATTATGGAGCCACTGTGAGCGAATGATTGTCGGTTTCTTTGAATCAGTGATCGAATACTCCCTGCCTGGATTTGATCTGTCCACCTACGATTCTTAGCCTGGTAGCAGCAGTTGGCAACCATAATCGGAGTAGGAATCTGTGGTTCCTGGGGAACAAATTCCGCGCTTTTCTTCTTTCTTCTCTGCTTGAAGTTGAGACTGACTTTGCCATCGATTGAACTGAGGTCATCGAAGATGCCAAGTCCCTGGATGGGCAGGATCATCATATCAATGATGCCATCTTCAGACACCTCACCCCTGCCCACCCTGGAGATCTCACCACATCGCCATCGGCCCCTGAATCTTCAATAGCCACTTGCTATGGCAGTATCCACACTTGGGTATACCTTCTCGCACTTCAACGTCTATTCGTGACGTACCTGTCTGCGGCCAGGGGCTCAGCCTTCGCGATGATGAGTTCCATCAACTAAGCATGAGTTTATGGGCAAGTATCGCGGAGCACAATTCTCCGACCAGCCTCGACAATCTAGGCAAAGCATCATGCCTTTCACATCATTCCTCAATGACGAATGGTGCATGAATGAATGATGGCCATCAGGGCAGTGGCCCTTAACCAATATAGCACCAACATGTGCCCTCTTGACGCGCTTCGAGAGAAATCAGCTGTAAATTGCTTGATTCGGCACATTTGTTACGACTCCTTATCGCCATAACTCAGGCCATCGGTGACTTGAAATTCATCTTCGAATCAAGCCTTTTCCAAAGCATTGGTGGGGCTTCTCAGGCTGTGGTTATCGTCGACCCCGCAACTTGAATGGCTGGCACTAGATTTTGGGTCAATGCAGGAAAGCGGTGTCTTCTCCGCAATATTCGATGTGATTGTGACCGCCATATAGGTCAAGAGAAGTGATTTTCAGCTTAATGCCAACGTCTCAGTCATGTGAGTCTAGTTCGAAGTACTGTCGGCTTCGGAATTGTGAGATGATCCATGTGAAGTCTAACTCGGTGCTGCTTTCGCATTGGAAGATAAAATCTTCATGAAAGGCGGCGGAGAAAGGCGGTTATGGTGCAGCAAGATTGATATCGCCATAGCTTCCTTCTTTCGGTTGGCTTGCCCGGCTGTCTTTATCGCTCGGTGGTCGCGATAAAGGTGCATCCCCGATAACCAGCCGGTGGATAGTCAGTCCGCTTTATAGGCTCGGTGTAGCAGATGCGCATGTGGTTAGTCCCCATTCAATTTGGCCTGGCGAAGGGCCTTCCAGGCTTTCAATGCGCCAGGCCTTTTTTGGTTGGCACGAACTCAAACCGCGCTCACAATGTTGAATTTTTGGACATCACTAGTAGATACTTTAGATACGTGAATGTGGCTAGATATAGCAACAGATTATGTCGAGCGAGATTGCCAGGATACAGCACACGGAGTGCTAGGAGTGCTAGGAGTGCTATCGAGGACTTAGAGCTCCTATCATAATCAGATGAAGTAAGACTCACAGAGTCATATGGGTGAAAAGTCGGTTGCGACGAGGTACAGTACATAACCACTGATGTGACAACCACAGCCTGATTCGGAGTAAGCGAAGATCCATTTAAGCGATGTCATGTGAGCTTTACGCAGTCGAGTACGCATTCTAAAAGAGTACTCAGCGCGGAGTATATGTGTGTCTAATTCAATGTATAGCCACAGCATCTGACAACTAGGGCTCATTGATTATGAACGGCAAAATATGATGATTATGAACTTTTCAGCTACATGTCCCCGGCTCTATATATCTCAGCCGGTTTTGGGCGACATTAATGTGCGAGCGCTCGGTTACGGCAACACAGATAAAACAAACCTTGAAATAATAGTATATTTATCAAGTACAGAAGAACTGACTTCGAGCAATCAACATCAGTTGACATATGGCACTGAATCTTACCCTTGACCTTACCCCTGCGATGTCGGCGGTCATTCGATATGGCACAAGGGATCTGAGCCGTGAATCGGAGAAAACCGAGCCTGACTCATTTTGCCTCTTGAACCTTGAGCTTTTGTCCATTGAGACTGATCTCTATGATGAGTCAATTGATGGTGAGACATTGAAGGCTCGATTGGTTGTGATTGCTTTGAACGGAAGCACCAGGCGTCTTTGAACGAAAACTCCCGAGAACGCCCTCACAAGTACTCCTTCCGTTGGCGATGAATGATGCAATCACTCGTGGGAAACAACAGTGTGGAGCGAATCATACGCACTAGGAACTACATATTTGAGGTGAGAGATGTATAACACAACAAAGGAATACGAGCCATGCATCGAGATTTACCCCATGTTTTTGAACGACGCAGCCGTGGGCCCCCCGAGAGATGGCATGATCGAAGGCGAGACCCGAAACGTGGGTGCGGGATCTGAGTTTGCGTCTTTACCCACCGCGGGGAGGAAGATCCTTCAGTCCTGAAATACTGGCGATTGACTGGTTTACCCCAGCCGGGGAAATCCCGCCAAGATCACCGCGCCTGGATGTCCCGATGGTTCAGGCAATGTGCAACAAGGATATCCATTCGAACCACGCTCTCGTTGCCTCTGAGACTACGCTATGACGTTCTTTCAACCAAATGAGCGTTCTCGACTTGACCTTAAGGGAGCTCCGGCGAAGTCGAGCCGGTTCGACAGTCTCGTATAGCCGAAGGATGCAAGATCTGACCGGACAAACGAGAGATTGGGCAGAGTGACATAGATGTGTGCGTGTAACCCTTGCTAAACCTTGTCTATACAATTTCCAATAGTTCACGGCCCAACCATTTAGAGATGAGGGGCTGGGCTGAGCCTTGCAGCTCGCTCTAGCAGCATCATTTTGTGTAGTGACTAGTCGCTTTTACTGTTGATGAAACAACAGCTCTCTTCTTTGACACATTCAGAAATTGAATGCTCAAGGCAGGGCTAGTACCCTAATCATGGCAGACTGGTTTTTCAAACTCGGAGCAGTCAACGCGCGGCTCAGTACGTTCCAGTTCTTGTAACTTGCTACCAGATTTGCGAGACCAAACTCTCGCCTCCACTTCTGTGATTTTCTCGGCGAACACTCGGGCATGCTTGCGAGGACAGTAGGATGTCTATCAGTGGATCACCTGAGTTACATAAACCGACTAGTCAGCCTCTTTATGCTTGGGACGCGAGCTACTTATGAGAGTTGTCCCCCACTCGCTCAGCAAGAAGAGCCAGGAACATGGAATGGTCCATCTACTCAAGTACATCAGCGAGGCTTTGCACCTGGAATAGAGTTTAATTTCCCCGCGATACTCCAACCTCGAACATGGGAGACATCAGCGTGGCAATTGATGTATGATGCCTGGAAGTTCAGACTTCGGTGTGTATTGGAGGGTACCAAGGGACTCCGATGCAGGAGGAGAGGAACTCAGCCAATGAGCCCACGGGAATAATTCGGTCATCGGTCAACAGTCGGGATTACCCCTTCTCCAAGTGGGCAATTTTTCTGGTCGGACAGTAATCTTGGTTTCAGGGTTCGTAGCAATGATTACCATTGTCATGCCGCTTTTCTCCATCGACTTCATGACTGTAATACGGATGAGCCAAGATCACCATCAGGCTGACTGCCGGTCAGGAAATTGCGGGGGAGCCGGCGACCTAGTCGTCCACACGCTTACGGAGACAGCGTATCTATCTGTATTGAAGGGACCCTTGGAGCAAAGCGGCAACTCAGACAGACCTTCATCTCCATTCTCCAGTCTAATCCAGTATATCAGACTAGCTCCGGCGGAATCCGGAAAGCTTCTCTGGCTCGGAGTGCTGATGATCTCCAAGAACCGAACCGCTCTCGAGATCAACTAGTGTCGGTCCAGGCTGGACAGTGTACATATTCCCGATAGGGATAGGCCTGTAGCATGAAGATATGACCTTGGCAGGATGCATGACGATAGGATTCAATAATCCACTGCACTGATTTTGATCTCGCGATATACAGAGCAAATCGTATCAGGTCTGTAGCTCTTGCGTCTACATCTCACCAGCCATTCGTTCGTTTGGTATCAATCGGACCGGGTGAGGAGGGTCGTCCTCATGCATCGCTAGAATCGCCCTGCACTCGCCTTACATTAGTGGCGGATTATCCTTAGGGCCGCCCTCCGTTAGCGGAAAGGCGCCTGCAGTTGCAGGGATGGCGTTTGATTCTGTGATAAAGTAGGCTGTCAGATTGCCAGGAGGTTATGTACGTCGCCAACTTGGGAGGGGTCGTTCGTTGCTATGAAACATATGATTGAACCAGCGATAACTACCAATAGTTAACTATGACTTGCGCGATGGGAAAGATAATATATCAGGACAACCTGGAGCACAGATTGAACATCCTCGGCAGGATCAGCTGCGAGCCCGCCAGCTGCCGAGGAACCTCCTGCCTTCCATCCTCAAGTTATGCTCAATTACACAGGGCAGGTAACAACAATACATAAAGTACAGTACCTCAACTTTACGGTCCGTGGTTCAATAGAATTGCCTGCCCAGTGTCTGCTGAGCGAATGAACGCTGTAAGCCAGATGTTCCCATTGGGCACGATCCCAGCGCATGACTCCACACCTCACAGCCCCACCTGGCCCCCCTTTTGAGTCCCGACGGCACTCTGGAACCGTCAACTGTAAACTACGACTCTCACTGCGGATGATTAACTTAACTCCCGTCCCCAACACCAAAAACCTGTGGCTCCTAGTCTTATTTGGTGCCTCTCGCTCTCTTTTCCACTTCCTTCTTCCTTCAACCCCCCTCCCCCCCCTCTCTCCACGCTTTCCGCCACTTCTCTCTGTCACCTTTTACATATTTCGACATTAAAGACCCCACTCGTGGTGTTGT